TTAAATTATAGAACAATATAATTGGTAATTACACACAAGTAAAATGTGCTAAAGATCGTCCAATAAAAGTTGCAGCAGTATGTTAACGGAGCTGCCAGAGGTTCAGGTCAGATTCAGAAGAGGATGTGGAACAAGGGATGTCGTTGCTGATGTCAGATGGATCTTAGCTGAAAGCAGAGACTACCAGAGAGATATTTACTTCAGTCTCATGGACTGTGCCAAGGCCTTTGACTTTGTGGACCTTAACACACTATGAATAACCTTGAGAAGAATGAGAATTCCGGAACACTTCATTGTGCTCATTAGGAACCTGTACATGGCTTAATAGAGGCAGGTATGAGAACAGAACAAGGGAATGCTTCGTGGTTTAACATCAGGAAAGGTATGTGTCAGGGTTGTATCTTCTCACTCTATTTATTCAATCTGTATGCTGAGCAAATCACCGGAGAAACTGGATTATATGAAGAAGAATATGGCATCAGGATTGGAGGAAGGCTTATTAACAATCTGTGATTTGTAGGTGACACAATCTTGCGTGCTGATGAAGATCAAGGACTGAAGCCTTCAGTGTGGAGTACAACTCTATAAAGAAGGCTAGAATCCTCACTAGTGAACCAATAGGTAACATCATGATAAACAGAGAAAAGATTGAAGTTGTCCAGGATTTTGTCTTGCCTAGAGCCACTATCTTTGTTCATGGGAGCAGCAGTCAAGAGTTCAAAGGATGCAATGCATTAGATAAATCTGCACAAGACCTATTAAAAGTGTTGAATAGCAAGAATGTTGTTTTGAGGACTAAGGTGCAGCCTGGCCCAAGCCATGGTATTTACAGTTGCTTCAGGTGCATGTGAATGTTGGACAATGCAGAAGAATCCATGCATTTGAATTATGGTGCTGGGGAGAAATATTAAAAGTACCATGGACTGCCAGGAGAATGAACAAATCTGTCTTGGAAGAAGTACAACCGGAATGCTCCTTAGAGGCAAAGATGGAAAGAGTTCATTTCACATACATGTTGTCAGGAGAGACCAGCTCCCTGGAAAAGGATGTGCTTTATAAAGTAGGTGCATAGCTATTACGAGGAAGACCTCCAACAAGCTGTACGGACACAGTGGCTGCTACAATGGGCTCAACCATAAGAACAGTTGTGAGGCCGGCGCAGGACAAGGCGGGTTTTGGACTATTGTCAGTAGGGTCAGTATGAGTCAGAACTGACTCGATGGCACCTAACAGCACCATCAGAAACAATGTGTTTAGAGCCACCTACTTGTGGTTTTCTTCCTAGAGCAGCACTAGGTCATTGAAACAGTGCATCTGGGAATAAAGACTTAAAAGAATTGTGCATCAGTAATGGGAAAAAATGGTCTCAAACATAAAAACAATTATGAGGCTGATGCTGTTTGATACACTGATGATACAACAGTGTTTCCTTCTGTTGTACGGCACCTAACAACAACAGCGAGAAAATAAGGATCCATTGGAGCACAGTGAGGTGAGGACTGGGCTGCTAACCAAAAGGTTGGCGGTCCAAACTACCTGCTGCTCCGTGGGATAAAGGGCTAGCAGCCTGCATCTGTGAAGATGTACAGCTGTAGATGTTCTAGGAAGCAGTTTTAACTCTGCCTATAGGGTGAATATGAGTCAGAATCAGCTTGCTGGCAGTGAGTAACCAAAAAATACTCCATCTAGCCTCTTTACTTACACCATAGGTTTATGGGATAAAAGTAACAAGTCAGTATAAACAGGGAAGTACATCACCTGGAAGTTCATGTCGTCATTCGGTGCACTTCAGTTGGTTCTGACTCGTAGCGACCATGCACAGCAGAATAAAACAGCGGATGGTCCTGCGCCATCCTCACAAGGAAACACACATTCTCGGATTCAACTCCAGACCAACTAAATCAAACTCTGGGGGAATAGCTCCAGTACCTCTGTTTTAACAAATTCCCCAAGTTATATTTTTCACTTACATGAACTTATTTTTATTTGACACAAGGAAACTGTGAAAGCACATGCTTTTTTGCTTCTAGAGGAGACACCACCTCCGTAGTGTTTCCCAGTGTCACTACACAATGACAAACAGGGTCTGTGCTGCATTCCCCAACGCGCATTTTATCAGTCCAGCCATACCGACAGGCTGGAGGCCATTTACAGAGTAGAATTTTGGAAAATTATCTATATAATTGCAAGGAACTCCAGTTAATACCAACCACTAATGAAATTGAAGAATTCTACCAACTTCTTCAGATGCATTGATAATTACTGGTGATTGTAATGATGAAGCTATTGGTCTTGCAAAATTCTATCATGGGATCTCCAGCTTCATTTCCATAACCAGGGCTATATTTTTCAAATCCTGAACTTTTCTCTTTGTTTCCAACAGTCCAATCACTAGTAATTACAAATGCATCTTGATTGCGTTTCTTTAAATCAATTTCAGACTGTAGAGCAGCGGTTCTCAACCTATGGGTCGTGACCCCTTTGGGGGTCGAACGACCCTTTCACAGGGATCACCAATTCATAACTAGCAAAATGATAGTGATGAAGTGGCAACGAAACTAATTTTATGGTTGGGGGGCCACCACAACATAAGGAACTGTATTAAAGGGTCGCAGCATTAGGAAGGTTGAGAACCACTGCTGTAGAGGTTGGTAGATTTCTTCAATTTCATCTTTGGCATTAGTGGTTGGTGTAAATTTGAATAATAGCTAGATTAACTGGACTTCTTGGTAGGCATAGAGGTATTATCCTAGGAGCATAGGGACCCTGGTGGTGTAGTGGGCTACATGCTGCTAATCACAAAGGAGCAGTTTAAAACTACCAGCCATTCAATAGAAGGAAAATGAGACTTTCTACTCCTGTAAAGATTTCCAGGCTCAGAAACCAACGGGCAGTTCTACTCTGTCCTATAGGGTCACTATGAATTGGAATCGATTCAGTTAATATAGAAAGAAAGTGTTTTGAAGATCATCAGTTTTACATTCAACAATTCATACACATTCTGTTTTATTGCATTCATTAAAATTCCCTCAATGTAGCATTACCCAGCCTGTCTCCGTTCCTCCTTTATTAACGCTTCTGAAGTTAGTCTTTGGGTAAGTGCTGCCTCTCTTGGTCCCAAATAGTCTCTTATTCTAAGGTATTCACACATCAATTGTGTTATGATTTCCCTTATGGACCTGTCTGTCATTTGGCTGAAAATCGAGCCAACAGGGAGAATTCAGTTCCAGACCTGAAGAGTGACCAAAGACCATAGTCTAAGGGGGGTTCAGTCAATGTCTGATCAGCAAGCTTGGACTCCTTCGTGACTTTGACTTTTGTTCCACATCTTTCTTTCCTTGTGCGCAGCAGGATCTTCTCATTTGATGGCTTTCAGAGCAGTTAGTTAGTGATGGTGATCAGGTACGGTCTAGTTCTTCTGGACTTAGAGTGTGCAGAAGGCATGTGATCCATTAGTCCACCGGACTAATTCTTTACATGTGTCATTTGTACCTTTGGATCATTCAGCTTTCCTCCACCAATCAATAGTTTCACCTTAGTTGGCCTCCTATGAGTTTTAAGACCCCATTCACTACTCACCAAAATAAGATGTAGACCTTGTGTTATGACGATTGCCCTTAGTATCCCCTGAAACTATGGTTCTAAGCCCAAGACATTTTCAAACTTTTTCTTCTGTATGCCCTGCCACATTCATAAACATATTTACAGCAAAAGTAAACACCCCATGTACAAATTCCCTCTGTCAAAACCATATATATCTGTGGGTACACTCATACTCCCCCTCCCATACCAATTCAGTCCATGTATCTATCCACGCATCTACTCAGAGATCGCCATTACCCCAGGATTGTGTATATAGTAATATTTACCTCTGTAGATTGCCTTCAACTCTTACACAGCTCCCAGTGTCTTCCCCTACCTTCATCATTTGTTTTGCCAATCTCCCTCTTAACTATGTACTGTCTTCTCCTTCACACAAGTAAAATCTACTTGATTTTCTGTCCATTTTCTGTAACTACCCTATTCCTTCTTTTTACTTGGATATTTTCTTAATTTCAATCTCTGTTCCCTGTTTTCAGTCTTGTAGATTTGTTTTCATTTGGAGATTTAAACATCAGAGTTGATTTCTGGGTAGTATTGCCATGTGTACTAATCAGGTTATTTTCTGCTGTTGTTGGTTTTTTGTCTGAAGAACTCCCTTTATTGTCTTATGTAAGATTGATCACAGTTTTTACAAATTCCTTTCATTTCTGTTTATATAAAAATGTCCTGGTTTTGCCAGCATATTTGAGGGGTAATTTTGCTGGTCATATGATTCTTGGTTGGCTTTTTATTTTCTTCAGTTTTATATGTGCCAGCCCATTTGCCTGCATGTTTTTGTTAAGAAATCAGAAATTTGACTTTATCAACTAGTTACAATGTAAAATAAATGCCCTACTTTTTTGTTCTTTCTTTACACACTCTGACCTTAATGAGGCATATCCCAGTCTTTCATACACTATACTGCCTTCAGACGGCAACCTTCACTTCACATAGTAACATGTTCTTCCTGCAGTGTCTTCCTTCACTCTGCATGCTTTGTGTAGAATCCTTGCTTACTGAATAAGCAGAGCCAGCCTGCCTCCTTTTTGTTCCAGGGGCTGCAGGAAGAGGCAAACAATGGGGCTGACATAATGCGGCTTGCATAAGTAGCCTTCAAAATTCATGTGACTAAGAAAATTATTTTTAGGACTTAAGGGCCCTGAGTGTAGAGGGAATAAAGGATTCTGAAGGGTAGAGGCAAATCACAATGTAGAGAAAAGTGAATTCATGTGGGTGCCGGGAAATGCAGGACCCTCCTGAGAGAGTTCATTGGAAGCAGAGTTGCCCACCCAAAAGGATGGTAGCACTCAGAAGCATTCAGTGAATTAATAGTCCAATCAGGTCCTGTGTAATCAGCTGACTGATCGAGGAAGCTTCAAAGCAGACCTTATCCTTGCTCCTTCTCTCTGCACTCACAGGGGACACTCTGAGGCTCCGAACAATCCTGGAAGCAATACAGAAACACATCCACTCTTCTTCCCTCATCTTCAAACTGGCTCAAGATGCATTCAAGATCGCTACTCCCACAGACAGTAGTACTGACAGCACCCTGCTCAATGTGGCCCTGGAGCTGGGATTACAGGTAGGAGGGAGGAGTGAGCCATCCCTGCTTTAGCCCTCTGTCCAAGTGACATTTGACAAGACATAAGATCCCGTGGGGCCTAGGCACACACAAGTCTTGTTCTTTCTGTGTCCCCAGAACACAAGTTCTAGGTTATTCTAAGGGCTCCAGAAAGGGTTTTCCATTTTTAAGGTAAGACCAGAAGAATGTAGTTTTAGGCTCTGTGGTGGCTCCAACTCTCCCCCTCCTCCTCACCCCCCACTCCTGCAACTCAAGCATGGAGTGCTAATAAGGACTTTAATTTTTACATTTCATGGGAGAAGCTGATCTGATGGTCGGGCATCAGAGGGGTGGGGCAGACATGAAACAGACTTTACGGGGAAACAGCTGCTTAAAGCCCCAATAAATATTTGATGACTAAATGAATGGCATGCTGAAGGTCAAAACACTAGGCTAAGACCCTGGAAATACTCTTTTGTGCCCAGGTGATGCGGATGACCTTATCAACTCTTAACTGGAGGCGGCGGGAGATGGTGCGGTGGCTGGTGACTTGTGCCACGGAAGTGGGTGAGTCTCCCACGTCCCCCCACCCCCCAGAGGAAAGGAGTCTCTAGGCCCTAGACAGAACAGTGAATCCTTAGAGGGCTTACAATCCCACTACTGACAGCCTAAGGATGAGGCTGCGGGCAGGAGGAGGAGATGCCCTCGCCTCTGGGACCGTACCCTGATGTCAGCAGC